AGAAATAGCCAATAACTAGGGATTCTAGGAGTATTATGTATGAACATGAGTGAATCATAGTGAGGGTACCCTTAAGAGAGACTGCACAAAGCACAGCAGCACACAACTCCAAAACATTGAATGATGATATCAAACACAAACTAAACAAGATTTATCTCGGTTCACCCTAACTCCCTTTCAAACAACTAATAAAATCGTCACTTTCTAAATGTTTGTAAGTTCAAATTTGAAAATATTTTCATACTACAATTCACTTCTTCAATAATTATAAAGAAAAATAGCGTTACATTATTGTTGTATTGGCTACATACATGTAAGCTAAGATTTTTATAAATGTGAAAGGTTTTATTTTAACACAGATTCATAGTGTAAATTGACTTAAATTGACTTCCCAGCCACATCGATGTGACTTAAAATCTTAATTCATAGAGAATTTTAAGTTAAATTAAAATTTAAAACTTAATCATACAGCTTTCAATGTTGTTAAATATTTATTATCTTAACTTTTTCATCTTTATATTTTAAATAACCCTTTTTATTCAAATAAATCATTTTTGTTTCTATTAGATATGGTAAAATCTCTTATCTTTTTGACATACTCATATTATACCAAGCCAACATGCATGCTAATTTGACCTTAAATTCAGTGCGATCAAATATCAATTCATTAAAGTTCCAAGGTTTTCAAAAATACTCCCACTAGAGAATCATTTTTTATTTTATTTTTTTTTCCCCTTGGTCCCACCTAATAAAATTTGTAGATGCACCATCACTTGATAAGCCCTATAAATACTCTTTCCCATTGATCAATTTCTTCATCAACTTTTCTCAGCTTATTCACTTGCCTTATTTGCTTTCTTTTAACACCCTTGTCTTGTTTTCTTTTTAATCACTTTTCATCATTTTACTCAAATTCCTTCATAGCCATGGCCACTGTCCAGGTAAAATAATAATTCAATATCAATTCCTCAGTTCCTCTATTATTGTTTTATCAATCTAGTTATTTCTTATGATATACAACAAAATTAAAGATTAATTAATTTAATACTCCTAATATTTCTTGTGTCGCGTTGTACTATAATCGTAGTAACTAAATTTAGACAGAGGGAGTATGTAGTGATGCAGTACTATATGTCTATATATGTTGATTCAGTACAATATGTATACCCAATAATTGTACTTGAGTGTTCCTTCCTAGTATTTTTAACTATTTTAAATCCTCTCACTAGCTAAATTTATACAGTATTTGAAAACATAATTTATCAAGGTTTTTGATCATGTGCTTGTTTAATAAGGATTGCATACATCTTAAGGTTTTTACTGCCATTCGTGGTGCATGATTACAAAATAGTACGGAGTTCTCATTTGCCACATCCGTTTATACAATAGATGCATCAGTTTGATTTTTCAAACTATCCCTGCACTAACTTTGAGTATGATTGATAGCTAACATCTAAAATTGAATTTCGTTTTTTTTTAATTGTTATTGTTGAGTTAACCTACGTATTCAATCAAAATAATGCAGATATTGAGAAACATATTTAATTATTGATATGTAGCAACAAATTGTTGGTCCACTAGCAACTTCATCTAGATCCATATTGTTTTTCTTAGTTAATTATGTTTCGGGTAAAAATGGGACCTTCGGCAAGGTCCTTTTTGGTGGGCTGAAGATTGATCTCAGTCCGAGTGATGACTAGGCCGAGGGTTTCCTAACAGCAGACACACATAAACTGGCCTCGGAGGTGTTGCTGAGGAAGGCCCCTCCGATGCCGAAGTCAGTACAACGTTTAGAAATAGAAAGCTGTGCAAGAGTATTAATTGCTTGAGGCTTAATGTGTATGATTGTAGAGAGAGGATTAAATGCTTTTATACCTTTTTTCAATAGATAAGTGGGTCATGAATCAAGTGGGCTTGCCACACTGACCGGGCCTTAACTGACTTGACATGGTTTGGAGAGTTGAACCTTAGCCTTGGGCTTTGTAATTGAATCATTTATGGACCGGCCCAATTGAAGTAAATTGGACTCAAACAAATTATTTTCTTAAAGGTTAAACTTGAACAGGTTGCTTCAGCTCAAAAATGCACTGCCACAGGAGAAGAAAGTGGAGGAACCAGCAAAAACTTCACCACAATTAGAAGAAGAGAAGGCAGCAGAAGTCGCCGAGCCAGAGCAGCCTAAGGTTGACTCTGCAGAAGAGAAACAGTCCGCGCCACCAACATCAGTAAAAGGTGAAAAAAACTGAAAATACTGCAGTACAAGAAGACGCGAAAAACTGAGGAAGAGCAACAACAGCCAGCAGAACCTGCTGCAGTTGAAGCAGAAAATGTTGCAGAACAAGAAAAAGAAAAACACTGAAACAAAGGATGATGATCAAGCAGTCGAGGAGGCTAAGAAAGCAATAGAAGAGCTGGAGGTTGAGGACAAGAAGTCGTCTACTCCTGTCGAGGAGTCCTCAAAGGTGGCACCAGAGCCTGTGGTAGAGGAAAGCAAAAAGGAAAACAAGGAAGCAGAAGTCAAGGAAGCAAGGGAGGAAACTACAGTGAAGCAGGATGACACTGCAGAAGCGAAGAAGCCGGCTGAGAAGAGTGATGAAGTGAAGGCTGGTCCTGCTGCAGCACCTGCAGAACCAGAAGCAGAGGCTGCTGTTGCTGTTATTGAGGCTGATACTGCATGATTTGGAAAAAAACTTCCGTTTCCTGAGATTATGTAACGGATTTACCTTTCCTTTTAATTTGTGTGTGCATGTTAAATTAGAGGAATATGTTATATTGGTCAGCTATATGTATTATGTAGTAATGGTTGTAATTTCGATGTGGTCGAATTAAGCCCATTTTGGTGAAATAAGGATGTAATGAGCTTTTATCAGACTTTTGTATGTTCATCCAAGATGGGCAGTATAATTCTGGCTCGCTATTAGATCAATAAAATACGGTGTATTGTGTTTTATACTTGTTTAGAGTAAATTCACTGTCCTTTATATTAGATTGAACATACTCTATTTGACCTGCTAACAATCTTCTAAATTGTTTGTGTCAAAATCCTTAACAAATTACTCCATGTCTTTGTCTATGATATGATAAATTTACTGTCCAGCAATATGAAATATGAGTTCATCTTCTATGATTTAAAAAGTTACAAGACATGTACTAAAATTATTATACACCCAAAGCACACAAAAAGTTTTGTAGACTTTTTATGACTTGCAGATTATATTTGTAAATTAACAAATATGCCTAGTCAATATTGTACAAGACAAACCTAGATATATTAAGATTTGTAAGACACAAAACAATCGCGGTGGTAGTCCTTTTATAAATTTACATACTAGTTTTTTATTTATTATGTTATATAAAGGTCCAAAACAAAGCTAAGGATATTATTAATTCAATATATCAATATATTGATACCTATTGTAAAAAATAGGATGGGTCTACCACTGCTGGCCACTTATCTGAGAAAAGCAGAAAACTTCTAAGAGGCTAACCACATTCTGTGTCTAAATGTGTCATTACAGCATAGAGGTAAATTGACAATAAAAAGTGATAAAAATGGCCATCAACCTTCCAGGCAATTCCTCATTCACGGCGCCGGGAAGAGGCAGAGATGAAATTTATGTAGCCACAACGCCTCTACGGGCAACCAAGGGACCTGCTCAATTACTCATGTCTGCTGCCTATTCTCTCAACTTGTGGAATCTTCAGCATTTCATGCTCATCATCAAACCATCCATAACTTCTGCCTCTCCTCCTTCAAATTGCCAGGTTGCTCTCTTCCATATCACCCCCTCCCCCAAATAAAAAGTTCGGAAAATTATTTCATGCTCCCGGGAGCACTAAGCATGATGCTCCGCCATAGTGTACAGGACTCGTGATTCACGTGTGTCACTATGGTGATCTTAGGAGCACAATATAGAAATTGACATTGCTTATTGGTGGATAGTTTTATTGAAGAGATCAGACTTGATCAAGTTGTCCTTATCCTGTAGAATGGTTATTGTTTGCAGGGCTTAGTGTTTGATTTTCAGCCTCAGGATCCTGAAAAATATATGTGGCTCTGGCTGCCTTATCTGGTAGAGCTATCCCAGGTAAGCGGATACTGTGAATTACTCGTGCTGCGGTTCATCGCATTTGTTTTACTCCATAACCCGCAGCACTGCACGAATTTGTAACTCTCTTTTGTTAATCATCTTGATTGTTTAGGAAATATTCTGGTAAGGAAAATTAGCAAGATTCCTAAGAAAAAGTGTTGGTACATTGGTTCATCCAAGTTATCAAATGCTGTAGAAGCTGCCTATAAGTTCAACAGCAGCTGGCAAACTGATTTACGCCTTGGCCACCATGATTGTCGTCACTATACCAATGGTACACTCTGTTCCCCGCTTTATCAACGACTAATAATAATGAGCTCTTTCGAGGCAGCAAGTAGTACTACCTTTGTCTAGTATTAGCCGTCACATTATCTCATTTCTTGTCTGAAAAATCTCTGTATATCTGCTTGCTAGGACTGGCTGAAATGTTGATTGGGAAGAAAAATGTACTGGAGCACCTTCAGGAGAATCAACAGGGAATGGATTATTAGATGAGGCCATGTCTCATGTGTATTTTCATACAGCAAACTCTCTAGGCCACGTCTGGCTACAATAGAAACTCCCTTGCTCGCCTATGAACCGAGTTTAGCATAAATTCACACGGACAGCTTATAGTTGCTACTTGCCATCTTGCTGATTTAGTGGCATAATTTTGACATATAATTTTTAAAGTATTCACTGAGGCTTGCATGCATTTTGAGAGCACTTATATACATTGCCATCAGCTTGAACTCGTTTACAGCTTGAACTCGTGAATTTGAGTGAAAATTCAACATTGAGCACACAAATTTTCGAGTTGAGCGTAGTATCAGACTCACTGAGTACAGCTCGAGCTAAGTCAATTCAAGCTCAACATGCATCGTCATCATTCATGGTCAAAATTATGATGTCTTCTGTTTAGATTTGAACTTAGCAAAAGCGAAAGATGTAGAAAAAACGAACCTTCAAGGTCTGCTGTAGAATGGAGTTACAAATTCATGCTTCAAGCGTTGTCTTAATATAGCATAGAGAAATGCAGGACGGCCAGGATCAATCACAACAATTGGCAATTGTATGCCAAATGTACAAAACAAAGTCCTCCCAGCACACCAAAAGCTGTAAAAGGCTTGATCAATTAACATTGCCAAATTAGAATCACTAGACATTAGACAATCATATAAGAATTACACAAACTAACAAGTCCTCAATCTAGAACCAACAACAGTGATTCTACCAAGCCTTGCCCAATCTACAAAGAAAGTAATGCTTCCACCTTCGCTACCGGATCTTCCTCCTTTTTAGGGGGTGGACTTCTATTAGCCTCGTCATACAAGTCATGCTTCCACTTCTCAGCCTGGGAACCACTTGAACGATACCCTTGTCTTCCACCAAAATTCTCCCTCCCCCTGAATTTGCCATTATCATCAGCACCATTAAACCTGCCTCTGGGAGGAAAGCCAGTATTTTCAACTCGTCCTCGGTTTGAAAACGACCTCTCCTTTACATATCCTCGGTCATGCTCGTTTCTTTCCAAAGGGCGACGATCATGAGCTCTGTGTTCCCATCTTCCAGTACCACCAGTAGAGCTAGCAGGATGGTCAACTTACTAGGTTCAGGAACAGCATTATCTACATCCTCAGACTTCAGAGGAAGTTTCTCCTCTCTAAATGGCCGTCTTTTTTTGGTAGGTGGATGTGCATCAGATTCTGCTTCTAAAAATTTATCGTGTTGCCAGGCATGGTTGTCACCACCTTGAGCTCGAGCTTTTTCCTCCCTTACTTTTGGATTAGAAGGTGCTGATCTATGTGCTGCTCGGTCTTCGTCCCTGGAATCGCTCCACCATCCACGTTCTATGCAGAATAGAGAGCAAAATGAATTAACCAACAAATTTAGATGCATAACAAAAGTGATTCGAATTAAGAAAAGAATGTCAAGATATCTAGTTTGAAGTGTATAGGGGAAGGGACTTTGAGGACTTTTTCCAATTCTCCAAGAATTATTGATAAGCCGTAGATCCTTATGATATTATAGAGTTTCTCAAAAGTACAATGAAATACAAGGAAGCAGAAAATAATGAGTCTCTGACACCCAAGTCAATGGTTTAGTTTGTGGAGTGAATAATTTGCTCAAAGTAAAGCCTTCATCTCTTGCAATCAACTTAATGCATATATCCTGGTGCCTCAGCTACTCCAATCCAACAAAAGCTCTGAAATTTTCATCATCAGCGAAACTGTGACAAGTGCCTGCTACGTTTCTAGTCCCTCATCATAATCCATACTTCCGTCCTCCAGCTACCAACTTATATGCCTTAATTCAATCCCTTCTTTCCCTTCAGTCTAATGGCAGTAAGCACTAAAGTCTAGACTATTAAGTTACCTGATACTTTTCGATACTAATTACCATCCTCTCCCACTGACGAAGTACAGCAGCCAAAAAAATCAAATGGGGATTTAAAGAGTACCTTGAAAAACTTAGTAACATAAGAGTACCTTGAAAAGCTCGGACAGTCAGTAATTTGGGTCTTTTTATTCGCTGGAAATTTACTTTTGGGTTTTGTGATGGAAAGGTTCCCCTGGTTTCTTTATTGCCCCTTGTCCTTTTTTCAATAATTTCCCACCTCAGATTAGAACATGAAAGGAAAAATAAATAGGGTAAAGGGAAAGAGAAAATTTGAGAATTAAAACCCGCAACCTCAAAGAGAATTCCAGCCATAAACGAGCTCAAATGGCCACCAAATACTTATTAAATACTCTTTTGTACCTAATCTGGTAAAAGGATTATTCAACTTTTAAGATACCCATCTGACAATCCGGCCGATTATAAGCTCTTCCAAACAACCACTTTCATACAGTAAACCTTTGACTTCTAAATCACTCTCCACCCCTGCAGGGTGTCGCAAAGGAAATATGCAAAGGACCTGCTGCATAGGTTTCATATGTACAATGCTAAGCCTGCTGCAACTCCTATGAATACGAGTGAGAAACTAAGGCATGATGATGGTACTGAAGCTGCGGATTCGAGTTATTATAGAAGCTTGGTAGGCGGACTGAATTATCTAACTCACACTCGTCCTGACATCATGTACTCTGTAAGTGCTCTTTCTCGTTATATGCATGCTCCCACTATGCAACATCTTGGAGCTGCTAAGAGGGTGCTACGGTACATTAGAGGTACACTTGAGTATGGCATTTGGTATGCGCAAAATGCAGATTGCAAGCTGTTTGGGTTCAGTGACAGTGATTGGGCAGGCTGTGTTGATGATAGAAGAAGCACCTCAGGTCATACCTTCATCTTGGGGTCAGGAGCAATATCATGGAGCTCGAAGAAGCAGGATATAGTGGCACTCTCGTCGTCTGAAGCCGAGTATGTGGCTGTTACATCTGCAGCTTGTCAAATGGTTTGGTTGCGAAGACTGTTGAGTGAGGTTGGTTGTGAACAAAAACAAGCTACTGAGATTTTCTGTGATAACAAGGCAACAATTGCCATGACTAAGAACCCAGCGTATCATAGTCGAACCAAGCACATAGACATACGCTTTCACTACATCAGAAGTTTAGCTGCAAAGAAGGAAGTCGAGCTGAAATTTTGTGCAACAAACAATCAGACTGCAGACATACTCACGAAGGCTCTTTCTTTTGATAAGCACACTTACTTTAGGCAGAAGATGGGTGTGTGTAGCTTTGAAGCAAGGGGGTGTATTGAATGAAGAATGCTTCAACTTTTCTGTTTTACTTTGTCCGAGTCTTAAGGGTTAGTTAGTGTTTTGAATAAATCAGTAGCAAGTTGTTATTTCTTCCACTTTTCTAGCTTAAGTTGTTTTCATGTAAGCCTATATAAAGGCACAAATATTGATCAATTGATGTAGCAATATTAAGAGCATATTATCAGATTTTCCTTTTGCTTTCTTAATTTAATTTACTCTGTTTTAATTCCCTCTTTTTTACCAACAAGCTGAAATACCATGCACATAGTAGAATCGGGGTGTTAGTTAGTGCCACCAAAGAGTTTCTTCAACTTCTTCACTTGTATAGCATCCAACAAAGTCATCTTCTTAACCAATTCAGTAGGAAGGTCATTTCCACCTAGAGAAGGAGTAGTAATTTCGAAGCCAGGACTCGGGCTGTTTAAGGTTACAAATGCAAGAGCAGGAATTTTCCCGACATTAACTTGGAAATGAAGTAATGTAGGTGGAAAGATCATGATATCCCCCTTATGTAATGTTTTGTAGAATGCAGTGCCATTTGTGTCTATAAAACCAGCAACTATTGTTCCCTCGGATATAAGGATAAGTTCTGACACTCTGTGTGAATGAATTGGGACGGCTCCACCAACACCAAAGTCTAGGCGTCCCATGGAAAGGCCTAGACCATTCAAGGATGGGAATGTTACATCTATAGCAAAAGCGGAATTAAGATTGAAAAGCTGATTAGTTATTATACTTGGATTACGCAAACCAGAGAAAACAAAGTCATCTGCTGTAAGGCTAGCAGGATTTTTACAAGGGTATCCTGCTGGGCCAACTGGATGATTGAAATCTGCAACACAATAATCAACGACTAATGTCACATAAGAGAATGGGGCAAGGAGAGCAAAGAGGAAGATAACTTTGAGAGCATCCATGTTTGAGGGAAGTTAGAGAACAAAAAGTGGGAAGGAATGCAGATATGTTTTGGTTGGTGTAGTGTCTTTTACATTGTCACTATTTATAGTATGTAAATGTACTAATACAACCTCGTAGAAATTTGATTATAAAATTCTTTATGCATGGGATCATGGCTTACGTGGGAGTAAAGATTAAAGTCCAATTAACATCTTTTGAGAACTTTATGAAACCATATATACATTATTTTCAAAGTTTAGCCCCTGGTTTTATTTACTTTCTTGCATTTTCTTTTAGTTTTCAATTCTTTACTCTATATTTAATCCCTTTAAAAGATTAATTTATTAGCGTAATGGAATTTGGAATTCAAAGGAAGCTTCTGCATATTTACACACGAGGTGTCTAATTTGGCAATTAGCTAATAAACAAATTCATCAACTCAGTAAAAATAATTATTATATCTTTTAGACAATTAATTAACTTATTTAAATGTCTAATTGACTAAGTTTTGTTCTTATACATACACTAATTCAAAGGAAAAAAAACAAACCAGATGAGATTTAAATTATTGGATACATGTAAATGAATTTTCAAAATAAGTATTTTCCTAATTTCTTCATTTCAAAATTATAGCTAAAAATAGTGATAAAAACTCGCATATAAAACGAAAAAGAAACTCGATCATAGTCATTACAAATTTTTAACAAATAACCTCAAGCTTTTTCGGTAAATAAACTTAATAAATTCAATAATCCTTAAAACAAAACAAAAAAAAATGCATGTTATTCAATTTTACAAATGCATTCATGTGTGAGTAAACAGTACAAATAAACATAATTTATAAGCTTTTCGAAAAATAAACACATTTCATATCATCCAATTATTACATAGATATAAATTTTTTTACACATATATATATCATCGCAACATAGCATTAATTAGTGCCACCAAAGATTGACTTCAACTTTCTCACCTGCCCAGCATCCAACAAAGTGATCTTTTGAATTATATCAGTAGGAATATCATTTGCAGCTAGAGCAACAGTTGTGGTTTGGAAGCCAGGGTTGGCGCTGTTTAAGCTAACAAACGCAAGAGTAGGCGAATCACCAACATTTACTTGGAAGTGAAGTAATGAATGTGGAAAGATCATAATATCAATTTTGGGTTCCTTGGTACGCCAGTTAGCCCCTATAAGCAATTTGACATGATTGAGTAGTCGGCTTGATTACAATTGCAATAAGTGATCGACCTAATAAAAGATCGTCTCACTTAGCTTAAAAGTGCCTAAACATTGGTTCATCGCAAAGGCACCAACACAATGGTTCATAAACAGCAAAGCACCGACATACTGGTTTACAAGCAGCAGAAGCGCCGATACACCGGCTAAAGCAAAGTTCAAGCGAGCTTTAAAGATCGACAAGCGTTGGTCTTCGGTAATTTTCTTCAGAATATTGTCGCAACAACTGAGGATGACTTCAAGTAAAGTTATCTTCGACAACATTCGCTAAGATTGTGGAGGTTGTCACCAAGATTTGAGAAGATGGCACGAGATGGGCGGTCTTCGACAGCATTCGCTAAGATTTTGGAGGTTGTCACCAAAGATTTGAGAAGATAGCACGAGATGGGCAGTCTTCGACGACATTCGCTAAGATTGTGGAAGTTGTCACCAAAGATTTGAGAAGATAGCACGAGATGGGCAGTCTTCGACAGCATTCGCTAAGATTGTGGAGGTTGTCACCAAGATTTGAGAAGATAGCACGAGATGGGCGCTCTTCGACAGCATTCGCTAAGATTGTGGAGGTTGTTACCAAGATTTGAGAAGATAGCATGCACGAGATGGGCGGTCTTCAATAGCATTTGCTAAGATTGTGGAGGTTGTCACCAAGATTTGAGAAGAACGGTTCGTGATGAGGCGGTCTTCGACGACTTTTACTATGATTGGGAAGGTTGTCACTATGATTCAAGGAAAAGGCTCGAGATGTAGCAGCATTGATCGACGGCGTTCCCTAGCTTGTGGAGGGTTGTCACAAACAACCGGAGGTGATTTCAAGAGAAGTTATCTTCGATAGCGTTCCCTAGCTTGTGGAAGGTTGTCACAACGGCAAATGCAACAAATCGGTTACTCCCAGAGGCGTGTACTCGACGGTGCAAGATACGCGTTTCTTAACTCTCTTATCTATTTTAAACTAACGCTATTTTGCAGTTATCGGCGTTACAAGAATGATTTAGGATCGCAGAACTTTCTGAATCATTCTCCGTCCCTATTGATACTTTGACTTTTGTTTTCGAAACTTGCGTTTCTCCAAACTCAGTCAAAGTGGGGGCTTCTGTAGACACCCATTTGTGTCTCCCCATAACCAAACCCAATGATGAGTATCGGTACCTTTCACATCGAATCATAATCGAATGAGGCGAAAGCGTGGAAAGTCTAGTGTTGCGGTTAGTTTTTATTTCTTTTCTTTCTCTCTGTGTTTGAAAACCTATTTTGATAAAATAGCCAATCCAGTTTGGTTTGGTTCATGGCAAGGTTCCAATAATGGTGTAGTTGGGTCGGGTTCGAAAAGAGTTTTCCAACGACATATTATAAGCCCAATTCCGATGAACAATGAGGAAGTTATGGTCAAATTACTAAACTGGGCTCGGTTTGATATTTTTATGCGGCCCAATGATCTAGAGGAGGGCCTATTATGATTTTTCATTCCTAATGCAATTAGGATTGATTATAGTCTTTTAGAATTTTCTAGAAGGTTCTTTTCATTCCTAATTTAATTAGCATTGATAAATTGACTTTAATCGACTTTTAAGAGTTTTAATTAGAATAAAAGAAGTGTTTTTAAGGAAAATACAGTTTTACCCTCTCGTACGTTTAAATTTTATCAAAATAAGAAAACGCGTGGAAAACTAGTTTGCAGCGCCATATGACAGCTCTGTCGCCAGCGTCTGGCGACAGACCTGGCGTCCGGCGACAGGCCCGTGTTTGGCGCTGCAGTCGTGTTTTATTATTTTCTAAACTCTAATTCCGTTTTTATCATATCTGGCTGATTTTCTCTATAAATAGCCTCTTAAAATTCTGTTTTTAATCATCAATTTCCATCGATTCTCATCAATTCTGAGGAATTCTCTCTAGTTCTCTCTCATCAAGAATTTCTTGATATCTTCTCCCTCACTTTTCTAAATTAGCATTTTCTCATACAAAATTCTGCATTCAAAAGATCTAGACATACCTAACATTGTTCGAAGTTGCCTTCTCCCTAGACGTGAAAGGTTTTAATTTCTGAGGGTTTGGTCCAAAATCTTTCTTTCAATTATTTGATTTAATTGTTTTTATATTTTTCTTGAAGTTACTAACGTGTGTATTTTGTTATTAGAAAGAGGTACGAGGCATCCAAGTAAGTGATTTAATTGTTTAATTGATATTATGATATAGATATCATGTCTAGGTTGTTATTATGATTCCTAGTTTCATGTCTAGGGTGTTTTGGTCTTCCTAGTATCATGATTAGGGAAAAGGTTATAATATCAAATATGACAATTATGATTCATGCGATGCTTCCTATTTTCTTTCCTAATATTCATGTTAGTATCATATTAGGGCTAAAGCGTTGATTTTTGATGTTTAGTGACATGCTAGGGTTTGTTATTAATCTTGTTAATATCATGCCTAGGATCTTGCTATTATTATGCTTTAATATGATTAATTTAATGTTGATTATAATTATTTGGATTATTATGATTTTTATTATGATTGTCATGATTATTTTGATTATTATGTTGCTTGATGATATTTATTGTTATTGCTTGATCACACCTTTTATGCATGTTTAAAGGGAATTGGTACTTGTAATCACGCATAATAAGATAATTAATAATCTTGTTTAGGGTTAATAAGATTATAATTCAAGTGACCGCCAATAATAGTTTTCTTTGTGCATTAATATTTAATCAACATAGATTAAATAGGTTTAGGGTATGTAAACCTATTGATTGAATGTTAGTCAGAAAGCGCATATGAATATGATCAGAATAAAGTAGATGCCTATTATTAGGGCATGTTCAAACTCTTTTATGTTGGATTTGTACCTTCATCCCCGAACTTCCAGTCATGATTCCAGACCTATTGGAGTTAACGATCTCCTGGATCGTTAAGGGGTGTAACCTTCACCTCGTGAACGGTTTACAAGTTCCTAAAACTTGTTGGCGACTCTTTTGCTCTAGCTTCCTTCCCTTTGGACGCCACCATGCTTAAGTGTATGATCACAGTGGGGTTCAAGTTTGGGGTAATGCTTGAAATATTCCCTACAGCGATGGCCCAAAATATACTCATTCAAGAGTCCAATTTCAAGTGTCCTTGGTGATTAGAGTGAGTTTAAAATGTCTTTACTAAGAAAAAAGGGGTTTTTTTTTAAATATATATACTTTCTACATTTTGTAATAATCGCAACACTAAGAAAGACACATAACTTAATGAAAACAACCTTGTATTCTTGATCTAACCCATTTTTTTTTTTAAATGGGTGCGGCTCAAAAATGCATTTAACTCATAACTTAATGTTTTTGCCAACTAGACAACAACCTTGTATTCTTGATCTAACCGTCTAGTCGCACTCTAATCATTCTAGACATAAACCATTGTAAAAAAATCAATATCATCTCTAAGCTAATTTCTTCATACTATTCCAAGCAAGGAGAAACAAAGAAAAAAAATTTACTACGTATACCATGCCAAAGTCTCAGCTGATTAAAATAAAAATAAATAAATAAAAATAAAAAAAGGTAAAGATGTATATAGTCCTTGCCCTAAAAGTTGTATGTAAGAAGTTAAAAGAGGAAAGAATAGACAATAATTAAATATTTATTACACCGATTTCAATTTTTCACTAAAAATAAATAAATATATTAAATTTTTATATGCAGTCTTAAGGATACTATCTTTTTTAAAAAAAAAAAAAAAAAAAATTAACAAATTATAGTTCATTGATTGCTAAACATGGAATCATAAAACCGACACCAAATAATACAACAATGAATACTTGCGGCCGGAACATCTTTTTCTAGATTACATACATAATCTTACATTCTTACATATAATTCCTTGTACATTTTACAAGTTTTACAATATGTATAACTTACACGAGAACAAATTTAAGTACACAACACATTAATAGATAACATTCACATATTTATATACTACGTATCAATTACTGCCACCAAAGATCCTCTTCAACTTCTTCGCTTGTACAACATCAAGTAAAGTAATCTTCTCAATCACGTCTGTAGGTAAGTCATTGGCAAATAGAGAAGTGGTAGTAGTTTGAAAATTAGGGCTTGCACTGTTCAGGCTAACAAAGGCAAGAGCGGGAGTTTTACCGACATTAATTTGGAAGTGAAGTAATGATTGAGGAAAGATCGTAATGTCTCCCTTGGTTAATGTTTTATAATATGCTTGATCGTTTGAATCTATAAAACCCGCAAGTATTTCTCCTTCAATCACAAGGATAAGTTCTGATACCCTATGTGAGTGGATCGGGACAACTCCACCCACACCAATGTCTAACCGCGACATGGAAAGGCCTAACCCTATGTGAGCGGGGAAAGTCAGATCAAATGCTGAAGTCACAGATACACGAAATATATTTGTTAATGGGTCAGCCGCAACACCCAAACCAGAGAAAACAAAGTCATCTACTGTTAAATTTGCCGGATTCCTACAAGAGAAACCGGCTGACGTATCTGGAAAATTAAAGTCTGCAACACAAAAATCAACAACACTATTAGCAGACGATAGAGAAACAAAGAGAAAAATGTATGGGACAAATTTGAGAATCTCCATGTTTGAAGTATATAAAATGGTAGGTTATTGGATTAACAATAAGATGGATAGTGTTTTGTTTCTGATTTTTTTTTTCTGTTGGTTTAAGTAGTGTTGCCTTCAACTATGAAACTTTATGCTCTATAAATAGATCTAGTACGTGAAATTTGGTGGAAGTTTTCAATTGAAGGGTTTTTTTTTTTTTTTTTTTTTTTCAATGTGATATGAAGTACTGTCAATTTGTCATGGCTTACGTGGATTTTCGTTGTGAGATTAATGTTCAATGGAGACGGAAAAATGAAGAGGGTGTCCCAATTTCTCATGGTGAGAAACAAATCTGGTTTCTCACATGGCATTTTCGTAAATAAATCAACAACTTTATTCAACTGTGAGGCCCACAATAATGAAAAAGTTGTTGATTTATTAACGGAAATGCCCTCATGAGAAACAAATTTCGTTTCTCACCATGAGAAACAGGGATTTTCCCAAAATGAAGGTATTATGTAATAATAGGAAATTAACCACCATTATTCATCGAATGATCTTGCATAAACAATGTTATTTACAAGATAGAACATCTTAATAATTTGATGAAATTTTCTGTAATTCAAACTTTGAACGATCTTTACAAAGATCTGGTATTGGTCAGGCCGTCCTCCATATTTCCATATATAACGCATAAGAGAAATTCTTGAAAATGATCAGTAGTGAACAAATACAGCTAGATAGTTCGACTAAGTTAATTGCAATAAAATAAAATAAAAAAAAAAAGTTGATTTGATCAATTAATTAAATAAATTAGTCAAGATTGATGGAGTATAAAACATATTCTTAGACCTCAACCATCAACTTAATCTTTTGGTTTAGTTGGTCCTCTGACATGGTATTGGAGCTAGAAATGACCTTTTATGTGAGAGGGAGTGATAGAGTATAAAATATATTCCTAGGGCTCAAAGCTTGAGTTGTTCTCATTGATCTCAAATCATATATGTAGAGTACATAGCTTCCTAAGATAATATCACAAGATGTTCTAAGTATTATCTTGAGTCAATTTAGCCTATAATTAAGGAAACTAATATATATGATAATAATGAATAATATCCTCCTAATCTTTCCTAACAAAGATTGATACTTGATGCTTACAAAAGATTACATTTAATCGGATACCATTAGCCTAGTGTCCACTAACTGTATCTTGTTCCATCGAGTTGATGAGTGATGGATTCATGCTTTATATCTATATCAATTCAACATAAAATAAAGACACAATTAAGCCTATCTCTAACATTCTTTTACCTTTTAATTATATCTCTAATTGTATATTTGTATAAATTACTCCACCCGCTACTAACTTTGACTATTAGTTCTTTTCGTTTGTATGAAAATCAATTTATTATTATCATGTAAATTTTTATTTGGATAGGCAGCATTAATATGAAGTTTGGTGACAGTAACATTGTAAATTCAATTTTATGTTAAATTATTTACATTAGAATTTAAGCTCATGCATTGACATGTGTGTCAAATTTAGTTGTGTCCGTTATAATATGTCAAATACAGGTGTGGGCCACACCCGCAAACTAAGAGAGAGAGAGTCCACTTTATAAGTCCAAATGAGGTTCCATCCCAAAACCATATGGCTATAGGAAAAGTAACCCCTTAATTACCCTTGTAAAGTAATTAACTCTTTCATCTTCAACTAATGTGGAACACTTACATGTGGTGATACTTGGAAGGTCTATTTTTTCAACATAATAGAACAAAGGAAATACAACAATTTGATACTTTGAATATACATATTAACACAAATCTAACAAGACATTATCAAATGACTACATATATCATACATAAGGATATAAATAAACATAATCAAAGTAGAGATTAAGAATATAATAATGTCGAAACAGATATGTTAAGAGCATCATAAAACGATGGTACTAAAAATCACAAAAGGTTCAAATGACAATTATAACTGTGTTGAATACAAAGCATTAAAATGAAGAAGGCATGTCTTCAAAGAAATTTTCAAAGAGGTTATCATGTGTTGTTATGCTCTCTAAGTCCGGAATGGGACCCGGAATCATGATTTGTGTTACCCAGGGACGAGGATTTGGTTCCCCAATTTCAACTTCCTTAATCTCAACATCGCTTGGTGTCTCATCTTTTGCTACGTACTTGGAAACCCACTTGGCATTTCTAACCATGTTAATTTTGGACCTCTTTCTTCTAGGTACGACCACACCTTGAGGGAATAAAGCGTTGACATTTCCATCACTTTTGACTAGAGATCTTTTTGCAGGTCCTCCAGCTTTGCGAGTACTTTTGTACACCATGATGCTCTGATACTAATTTCAACTTATGTACTAAAAAAAACAGAAAACGTTAAGTGAGTTGATAGACTCAAAAAATCTCCGCCGCCACAAATCTAATAAATATTATTTATAGATTTAGTTAACTTGAAATCGGATTGCAACAAATAAATACAGCAAAGAGAAAACATCACGTGTGTAATAAATTCAATATAAAGTTAGTACCAGCCACACGTGATCATATCTGTGCTATTGTATTAATGCAAATGAACTGGAAACGAAAATATATATGAAAAATAATGTGGAGACTGAAGAATTTGTATAATGTAGAAATATACACGGTTAAAGAGTAAATCAAAATCAAACAAGCTAAGAAAGTATTTGGTACTTTTTTTTGAAAAATCTAAATCTGATAAGATAGACGTGCATTAGGATATATTTTTGAGCATTAGGATATATTTTTGTACACTAGGATATATACTACATAGAACCAATCTTTTTAGGGACAAAATCAATGTAGGAAAAAAAAAAAGTGGATCAAACACGCAACACTAAACCAAACTTGAGTAAGTTTATCTCCGAACTAACCATGATATTGATACCCATCCAAATGATCCAATACGAACAAAAATTCATAATTCACCGTGTAAACACTTGCTTCTGAATAAAATTAAGTAAAACATAAAATTAAAAAAATACATTATTATTACATACGATCCACAAATATATATTTGTAAAAAAAAAATTCTTTTTTTGAAAGAAATATATATTTGTAAATTGTAATCCGTAAATAGTTCATATTCTATAATTTTAGAACACTAATTAATTATCGATTAAATAATTGTATTTGTTTTTACATTGACAGCTAATAGAATACAATAGATAGATAAGAATACAACAGATAGATAAGATGATTTTTTAATTAAAATAAAATCATGTTTTGTATGAGTGCTTTGTACAACACTTATCTTTAAATTATTTACCCTTTATTTTGTATTGTTAAAAATGCAATCAGATTGATTATAATTTTTCTTATAAAAGTAGCATATATAATTATATATGACATTAAAATAAAAGCACAAATGTTGTTATAGAAGGGCATTAAAAGTAAATAATAGCACAAAGACTACATGAAAAACAAATAAAACACACACACATATACCGATATACGTATATTTTTGTGATTTACCCGGTTAAATGCAGATGGTATAGTGTTTATTAATTGTTAAAAATATATATTGAGACAAATTCAAATGATCCCAAATAAATTAATTTTATCTTATACATGTATGTTTATGAATTAAATTAAAATTAAAGAATTGTCTCAACTAAACGTGAAGGAGTAAAGAACTTTAAAATAAAAAAACAAAAAACAAAAAAGAACAAAGGTTTAATAAAACGAAATACTATAACATTCTTTGAATAAATTAGATGGCACTTACTTGAAAATAATCTCCTTTGACTTCTCCTTGAACCTGTGAAATAAAGTATCAAATTAAGGTCATATTAAATTTGATACTTGAGGAGAGAGAAATGATAGACTTTTTATATTTGACTATGATATAAGTTTCAACATTAATTAGTAAACGGTACCTACCTTTAATTAATTAATCATTATACTTCCCTATCAAAGCTCTAATATTAATGAAAAAAAATAGATGTAAATAAATTATTTTGGACTCATGAAATGGGATTTGTAACATTTGCTACAGTTTTCTCATTTGTCTACAATAATTGCTTTTTTTTTTTTTTTTTTGAAAGCACATTAATTGTTTTATTGATTCTCTCTTATATTGATTTCTGTATGATATTTATTAACTCCACTCGCACTAAAACCTTATTCTCTTCATCATATTTTTGTTTAACAGTAATCATTTTTACTGAACTGAAATTATTTAGTTGAACTTATTTTTTTTTTTGGGATTCACAATCTATTATATATTATTTTTATCGAAATTATTTTTACTAAATATTTTTTAAAGGGAAGAAAACAAGACCTATTCTTTAGGAAGAAAATAATAATAATAATAATAATAATATCGTCATCGGAAGCGGGTTAAGTATGAAGCTCGATGTCAGGCGATTGGATATGGTTTCATTCCCTTCTCCTTTTTTTCGCTTGGGGAATTAGAGAAAGAGGTTGTTGTGTTATTGAAGCGGATTAAGAGGTTCTCGATGACGCAAGACATTGGGGCTCTTGTTGCAGCTCATATCTTCACTAGGGTAGGATTTGCAATAGCTAGAGGAGTGGGGGCCCAGATTGTATCTCGGCTTCCCACTAATTTATTGTAGGTTGTATGACTTTTGTTTTTGAGATAATAATAATAATAATAATAATAATAATAATAATAATAATAATAATAATAATAATAATAATAATAAAATAGTCTATCAACTCTACTTTGGACTCAATTTGAAGCAATAAAACGTTGTCTCAATATGTGTGTATCTAACGGTGCAAATAAGACATGACTCCACAATTATTTGGTGTAGCGAATCAAGACATTGAATGAAAATAAAGGAAATAATCTTCATTGTTTTAATAGCAAATCGTATTTTATTTCCTTTTGTCTTTTATATAATTCATTGAAATACAATAAATTTTATCTAACATATTTAATGTATTTAAATACCTTGTAAAAGTTTTATCAGCTTACAATTTTTTTTTTTTTGACAAATTCAATCTTGTTCTTTTTTATTCAATGGAGTCGAGTTGAATTGAAATGAAGAGATTCGTGCTTGTGTGTGCTTGTTATCGGTTATTATTGTGTGTTGGAGTACTTAAGTTTTGTGTGCATCTAGTCTAGACTGTAGACATTGTCTAAACGCCATCACGTACGGGCAATCAGCCTACAAAAAATGTTCATTAATCTATGATAATTTCGTGACACATATGGATTTGACCTTATTTCCTAAATATTTTAGTCTCTTCTCAGTAGTACACTTGCTTTAGGGTTATTTTTGAATAGGTGAAATGACTTTAGCTTATCGATTCTCCCAAAAAAAAACATATCCATCCCTTCTGCCACCGATAACAAAGTTATATCACTCATTCCCTAAATTTGTGGTGTTTTATTTATTAATAACACTACAAAATTGTTGTATCGAAGCAAAGTGATTACAAGATATGTTTTACGTAGTCTCAAATAGAAATTCTTTAAAATTTAATGTCATTTTCTTTGGGATTAAATCTAGGAAATTTGATTTTTACCACCTTCAAATAACTACTTTATTGAATTTATCACCTCCAAAAAAAATTACTTTACCACCTCATAAAAAAAATAAAACATCAGTTTTACCACCTAATCCTAACTCCGGTGACGGAAACCGCCAATGGGCCCACCATAACAGCTAGTTTTTGAAATTATCCCCAAATTCTCTCGATTTCCCTTCTTCATGTCCACATCAAATTGTTGAAGATTGAAGTTTTTTTTTTGCGATTTTCTTCACAAAACCTTAATTTGGGTGATCCCTAACAATCCCACATCCTCAAATTATTCAAGATTTGTACTCGGCTCTGATTCAATTGGAATTTTCGACATTAAACAACAAAAAGGTAAGCAATTTTCATGAAGTTTGTTGTAATTTTTTGCAATTCGCTGCGTGATTGTGTTGCAATTGTTAAGTGTAATTGAATTTGCACGTTTTGTGTTATTAATTCAACCCCAATTTCATTATAAATAATTAGGGTTCAT